GGCGAAAATAAATAGTGATTTCGCCCTACCCTCATCACCGTCCAAATTTCATCGTGCGGTCACAATTGTCCGATAATGTTTTATTTTTCATTTTTTTCTATAAATTGGAATGACCTGATATTTGGAAGATATGTACATCTTACTAAGGCACATCTAATAAAAATATAAAAAAAATTATCCGTGAAAACAAAATTACCCAAAATACCCCCAAAATGTTTTGAGGGTATTTTGATCACTTTTTTCATGTAAAATATTTTTTTATATTTTTTGAATATTCCCCTATTTTTTATGAATACACTCTCCAAATTTCAGGCCATTCTGATTTGTAGAAAAAATGAAAAATAAAACACTCTCAGACAATCGTGACCGCACGATGAACTTTGGACGGCGATGGGGGTAGGCAAAATCACTGTTCATTTTTCGCCTATAAGCGGTGCGTAGTGTTTTCCTATATATATATATATATAACTTTGATAGAGCAAAAATTACAAAGGCGAAATGATCCATGACTAAAAGCTTTTTCCAAACTACTCCTGCTACACAAACGAACATCACGGCTGCAATTCCTCTGTTAAAATTTTACAAGAGCTTGCTGAGTTTGGCTACTTATTATTCCTTTGAAAAATAATATGTTTTTAATAAAGTTGTGATATTCCGTTCATCATTTGTATATTAGAAGTTCTACGTAAGTGATCTCATTGTCCTATAAAACATTTATTTAAAAATTGATATTTATGCTTTTAATAAAATTGTGATATTCTATTTATTGTTATGAATTTTAGATACTGTAAATTATGGCATTTCCTCTTTCAATAAACTTGTAAGATTTCTGTATATTGTTATAAATTTTAAATATCGTAAGTTTTATGTGTAAGTAGCGTCATTTTTCCTAAAAAGTCATTATTTAAAAAAAATTGATATTTCTATAATATTTAGAGATATTTATGTATTTAATTGTAATATTTTCGAAACTTTAAGTTTTACGTATTGTTGTATTTCATAGTAATATTTGCAGCATAAATATTAGAGATTGTAAATGTTGTATGCAAGTGTTATATGTGTTATGTCCAAATTTCATGTGCAAGTGTTATGTGCAAATGTTATGCGCACGTATTATGTGCCAGTGTTATGTGCAAATGTTAGGTGCAAGTATTATGCGCAACTATTATGTGTAAGTATTATGTGCAACTGTTATGTGCAAGTGTTATACGCAAGTGTTATGAGCAAATGTTCTGTGCAAGTGTTATGTACAAATGTTATGTAATTACAGGCCCTATATCAATGTAGTAGATATCAAAAAATAATAATATTGTATTTTCAAAGTATCTTTCAAATTATTAACATAAATTCTCATGAAACAATTTATAACAATCACTTGCACATAACATTTGCACAGAACACTTGCACATAACACTTGCACATAACATTTGCTTAACAATTGTGCATAAAACTTGCACAGAATATTTACACATAACACTTACATATAATACTTACACATAACAGTTGCACATAACACTTGAGTATAACATGTACGCATAACACTTGCACATAATACTTGCAAGTAACATTTGCACATAACACATATAACATTTGCATATAACATTTACAATATCTAATATTTATGTTGCAAATATTACTATTCAATACAGCAATATGTAAAACTTACAGTTTTAGAAATATTACAAGTAAATGCAAAAATATCTCGAAATATTATAGAAATATCAATTTTTTTCAAATAATGATTTTTTAGAACAAAGGAAACCACTTACATATAAAACTTACAATATCTAAAATTTAATATAATAAAAAAAAATGTTACAAGTTTATTGAAAAAAAAAATACCATAATTTACAGTATCTAAAATTCATAACAGTAAACGAAATATCACAATTTTATTAAAAACAGACATACTGATTTTTAAATAAATATTTTATAAAACAATGAGATTACTTACATATAAAACTTATAGTATAAACATAGTGGATGAAATATGACAATTTTATTAAGAGTGGACTATTTTTCAAAAAAAATGATGTCACTTTGAGATGGAAAAGAAATTAAAATACTCTTTTAATTTTTAAGTCGGCCGCAAACTCTTCACCGTCTCGCCTTACTTAGGCTGGAAAGCATTTTTGGCTGAGAACTCGTTCATGCGAGGACATATATTAAAATTCGTCATTCACTTCATGATGCCATACGACAATCATCCCGTTCATTGAGAGAAGCCGTCCACGCTTCTGAGTGTTCAAACCAGAGCCCTACTCACTTGGACCTCCACTAGGGCCCGGTCCACAATGAAACCTCTTTGCAACCCAACCTGCTGAGACAATGAATGGTGCCCAAAAGAAGACGAGGTCGCCCCAAAAGATCCACTCGGTATTAAAGCACCAACTGGAGGTGGAGGGCTATGAGCTGGAGTTCTTTTCTTATCTCGAAATCTTACTGGAAGTTGGGAACTGCTTCAGTAATTTACAGAACTAGAATTTCGGGCAAAAGCTTCAAGTGAAGGCCCAATACATAGAATGGGTTTTTCCTTCGCTTGAGGTGGAGATGGTGCAGGCTTACCAGGAGAGAAGAAAAAGGTTACATTTGGCTAGCAGGTGTACCACCACTACTTGTTCTCTTTGTTGGAGCCATGAGAGAGAGATTGTGATATTCGTTTGATACAAGTTTGCGGTGAGCCTTGAGGCAGAGAGAGAAAGAGAGCGCACTGTGTGAGTGGGTTTGAAGAAAGGAACTGAACGAGAAAGAAAGAACCAAACCCACTCCTTAAAGAGAGAGAACCGTTTTAAAATCACACTCCTCATGGCGCTTAAGTCCTTCACACATGGAAGACGGCATTAGTGGAACCGTTTTAAAATCATACACCTCATGGTGCATACGTCCTTAACACATGGAAGATGGCATTAGTGGATGTGTCAAGAAGGCAAGTAACAAAAGAGAAGAGCTAACACGTTAATTAAAAAGAGGCAAAACTCTTCTTGGTTCATGCTATGTAAGTGGTCCACAATACGAAAGATATGAAATTATTGTTTTTATTGATTATTTGTTATTTTATTTTTTTATTTTTTCAAAAAAATTTAGAGTCATCATATTCTCTCTCCCTTTAAGAAATTTAATCCTCTAAATTTGTGTACCTAATTACTGAAAAAGATGGGAGTATTTCTCTTTGATTTCGTCTTCTTGTTTTCAAATCGATTTCTCTCTCGAATGGTATTGCCACAATATACGAACCAGAAGAATGTCTTTGTCGTGCAACACCTGCACCCCTTTCTATCCAGTATCAAAATTGACCACTCAATGAAGGTCAGTTTATCCAAAGTGTAGATTGTGCGGATTGGTAGACAGTGGGCAACTTTGGTCAGTCGATCCACAATGACCCAAATGCTATCATTTCTCGAACTCGTTCTAAGTAAGCTGAAAACAAAATCTATAGAAATGTGCTCTCATTTCTACTTTGGTACAGGTAAGAGCTGCATTAACCCAACGGCCTTCTGATGCTCAGCTTTTACTTCCTGACACGTTAGGCACTTTAGACACGAATAGTGCCACCTCCCTTTTATGTCGTTCCTCTAGAAGATTTTCTTCAGGTCCTAGTACATCTTAGTACTCCCGGGATGTATAGTATATCGGGAGTGGTGTGCTTCTTCCAAAATATCTTCACACTCTCATCATTCGGTATGCGGACTCGACCTTTGAATCTTAACAAGTCATCACTGCTTATAGAGAATTCATCTCTCTTTTCCTCTACAATTTATTTATATTCTTCAAGTTCATCGTCTTCTGACTAAAAGATACATGGGGTATGTAGCCTATGTGGTAGAAAATCGAGACGTGCAGTCCAAAGTGGAAGAGGTCCCATTAGTGAGTGAATACCCTGAGGATTTCCTTAAGGAGTTGACATCTTTGCCCCCAGTAAGGGAGATAGAGTTTGAGATAGACTTGGTCTCTGGCACTGGTCTCGTCTCTAAGGCCCCATATCGAATGACCACTAAATTTGAAGGAGCTGAAAGTACACTTGCAGGAGTTATTAGAGAAGGGGTTCATTCGACCGAGTGTGTCTCATTGGAGTGCACCGATCCTTTTTATAAAGATAAAGGATGGGAATTAAGTAACAGTGAACAACAAGTACCTTCTGTCTAGTATTAATAAACTCTTTGACCAATATCAAAAAGCTCAAGTGTTCTCTAAAGTGGATATCCAAACAGATTATCATAAAATGCGAATCAAGGAGGGAGATGTTCCCCAGACCACAATTTTTTTTTTTTTTGTATTTATTGCTCCAAAAGAAATTTTCCATTCACAACCTGTTCAAACTTGTACAAAGTGTAATTCACAACTTATAATATATATATATATATATATATATATATACAACTTTGATAGAACAAAAGCTACAAATGTAAATTTATCTATAATTACAAACTTCTTCCAAGCTACTCCTGCTGCAGATACGAGCAATACAGCTGTGATTATTCTAAAAAATTTCACAATAGCTTGATGAGTCTAGTTACTCAATAAGTGATCGCCATTATCTTTATAAATCATGGTTAACAAGTATAAATATTTTCTAAAAAGATATATATTAAGTGGAATTTCGATGTATTAATTTTATACATTATAATATATGTTACTAGAGAGATTCATTCTAATCTTACACACATCTTGTATTTCTTAGACAAAAAAGATTAAGATGATACATAAATTATATGCACCCGATTCGATCAACATAAAAGATTCATAATAAGATCGACATTAAGAGGCAGCTAATCAAGCAAGCATTCACAATATGTACCGCGGGTTTTTCGGGTGGACGATCGGTGGCGGATACGTTTTCTGAACTTTGATCTCTACCATCCGATACCCGTGAGCGCGTGACGGTGCTGCGTCGCGGCGCTCGTTTTAAACGCAGAGTTGATGCTTAGCCACGATAAAACTTCAAATTTCTTGGAGGAAGCAGGAAAGAGAAAAAATTAATAAATGGAGGCCAGGAAATTGAGAGGTCACAAGGCTACCGTACTCTGCTGCATCTCTTCTCACATCAACCCCAATATCATCATCTCTTCTGACGAGGTCTCTATCTCTACCATCTGAGACTGCATTTTTTGTATTCAATTTGATAACTTGCGATTTTTTTCAATGGTCTTTTGATGTTCTCTCTCCTGCAAAAAGCTATTTTCTCTCTAGAGACTTCACAATTGAATGCTTTAGTGATTGGCAGGCTTCAAACAGTCTAAGTATTTGAGCACGTGAATGTGTTGGAATGTTGTTCTGCAATATTTTTTAGGTTTTGGAAGCATTTTTGTTGGATGAGTTGTATATTTACATATCATTGAAACTATGTTCATGGGGGTTTATATAGTCATATTATAGCCATCTTGGACCATAAATTAATTATATGATAATTATATAATGAGACCCTCTTATGGAGAGGAGGTGCGGATGAGCTAAAACAATTCTGGGTGTTTTAGTAGGTTACAAGAGCTCTTCATAGCAACTACTTCAATAATTGCTGAACAACGAGAACATAATGGGCTTGGCCGGTTCACGTTTATTTATTTTAATCGAGTATACATCAATTTGTACAAGACTGAGGAAAAAAAAAAACTTTTACCAGACATGGAACCAGAAACAAGACAATAAGCCTATTAAGGAATTAATAATAGGTAAGCAGGAAATATTAGCACTTTTTTTTTTCCCAAATACACATCCAACCCATCAACCAATATATTTTCTTCTTCAAGGATGAGGCATAAATGTTAGAACATATGAAAGAGTATGCTCATTATGGAAAAATTTGGCGTTTGATTAGCTTAAATACAAGAACATGCATATTGAAAGAGCTAAATGCCCCTTTGGGTAACAGCACCTTGTTCCATGGCAAACACAAAAAAGAACAATAAGTCCACGTACTAGTTTCACTTGATTAGAATGTCTACCCACCTCAATATGTTTGATTGATTCTATGATAACGTGCTGATTCGGATGCATTATTGATCTTGCTGATGTTGGCATCATGGATTGGAGTATGATATGTACCTGGCACCCCAAGATCCGTTAGAAGCATTCTGAGCCTAAAATCTCATCAAAACGTGAAGGCTGGGATCTATACTCTGCTTCTAGACTCAGACACTATGTCTGGACAAGAGGGTCCTCTGGAAAGATACAATACCCAGACATGGATCTATATTCTGTAGTGTCTGGACAACTTTCCCAATTTATGATAGCGAGTGGCATTCGGGACACTGTAAATAGCGAACAATCTGATGCATTCCAACCATATGTAATGATCTTGGTTAGTGAAGAAACTGAATTTCGGACGGACACATGTAATAATTGTTGATCTACTCTAATGATGATAACTAGATATCCAACTGTCTATATGGAGTCAGATCCTGAATAAGATCACCATCTGAGATGAGAATGTGCTCAATTGTTATGTAAACCATCTTCCCATCTTCAAATGAGCTTGAGAAATAAGGTCCTTTGATGTACTGTTCAGCAGTAATGCTCCTAGAACTCTTAGAAATCTTCAGAGGGTGATAAGTTGACCATGCCCTCCATCAACATTTGATCCTGGTGTCCACGTAAATTTGTTTGTGTTCCTTAAATCATCATTAGATAACAACTATATCTTCGATAGATATCAGCCAAAGATAGAGTTACTTCCCTTCCTCATGAACAAGGAAGGCTTTGTGATACATTGAGCTAACGCCCTTCAAGTGCATCTTAAAATATCTTAAACCAAGCTCATGTATCTTGCTTGAGATTACAAAACACCTTCTTGAGCCGGTGTCTAAGGCACCTATCATCGACATCACATGGTAGGGCTATATATATATATATATATATAGAAGAATGGCGCTTAGGAAAGCAGGTTTTAGTCCTTTTGGATACAACCATGATCCTCAAATAGAAGTAACTGGTGGAAAAATCCTCACAATGTTTAGGTTGCCTAGAGGGGGGAATGCATCCTCATAGTTGATGGCATGCTATGGTCTTGAGCAATGTCTTTAAAAGCAGTAGTTTCAACCGTAGATGTTGGAAGCGGGAGCAAGGGATCATCACATTCTAGAAGCTTCTTTGATTAGAAGAGCATTCCGTACAATCATTGAATTTATAAACAAAAGAAATTTTGAAAATTATGAATTATATAAAAATAAAAGAATCCAATTATCCCACAAAATATAATAAGATTTGACAAAAATAGGCTAGAAAAAGTAATATTTATTAATTAAACTTATTTAATTAAGGAATAAATTTTTTATATACCTTAGATGCGTTATCCTACAAAATACAATAAAAAAAATTATGATGAGGCACATCGGGATAACTAATAATAGTTCAAGTGAGCTGATCTTTTATTGATAAAATCTGCTTTATTTACAATTCACACTTTACAACCTCCAAAGCATTATGGAGAGAGATGGAGTATGATCTTAATTAAGATCCAAATGAATCTTTATCTTCTTCTTCCTCCCTTATTTCCCTCCGAGTGGCTAGGAGTGGTCCCTAAAAAGTGGGGATCAAGATCCTAAATTTAAAAATTGCTGCATCATGGAGATTGTTATCTTGGAGTTTGAGTTAGATATTGGAGCAGGATTGACACTTAGGTTGGGAGATCCTAGTAACGATAACCTCAACTGCTTAGGCATCTAATTACCTTGGATACCTCCTCATCTAGATGGCCTCCTAATGCACACACACACACACACACACACACACATATATATATATATATATATATATGTGTGTATGTGTGTGTGTGTGTGTGGGGTGTGTGTGTGCGCGTGTTTGCTTGTGGGTGTGTATGTACTACCTATGTCTATGGTTTTGCAGCAATTGTTTTATGATGCACACTTGTTTTCTCTTTCTGAACTAAGAAACATATCATTAGGGATTTTATCCTTCCACAGCCATTAAAAACCTACACGGATTTTTTTTTCAAAACTACCCATTTCATGTTCCTCAAAATGAATTTATCTACTTATTACCCCAAAATCTGCAACTTTTTACTGAAGAGATAGTGAGTTAGTGACCTGTTTCATGGTCTGAGCTGGAGCTAGAGAAGGGGCAAAAAATGTAGGAGAGTGGTGGCAAATGTTTTTGAACAGAATAGCCCATTAATGGCCGGTGCCCATCCTTTCTGTCAGCAGAAGTGCCAACCTAACCTATAATTTAGATTCTTAGGCTTTGAACACTTTTGGGTTAAATATAAATTTTTTCCTTTTGATCTCTGTTCTTGATTTAATTGATTCTATTTGATGATTGAATGGAAACAGGATGGTGGCATATGCTGGTTTGACATACGCTGTCAAGATGTGGTGGCAATTCTTGATGTGGGAAAAGCACCAGTTGCATCTATATGTTTCAGACCAGGTGAATTTGACATTTTCTTGCTACTTGGAATCTGTGCAGGAGTCTATGGTTAGCCATATTCAAAATCTTAATGTTTTCAATTGTGATCATTTTCATGTATTTCTTACTTTTCCCTTATTTTGATTGGACTTGATTCCAACTTCCAATATTTCTTGAGTACCCACTGAAATTTGGTTAAAAGTTTTTACGGTTGGTTTCCTGATGCCGACCAGAAAAATTATGCCACCCCCCCCCAACACACACACACATGTATCATATGTACCAAAGAAATTTATAAATAACAAATAAGCAAACATATTATCAATCCTTATCCTTCACATTCTTTCTCAGAGGCTTACAAAAAATATTTGTTCATGTATACCTTACTGATGTGTTGCTAGCTGACGGACACATGCAGCGCAGACCTGCTTTATCCTTGTTATGGTTGGGCTTAGACTTACTGACTCTTTTCTGGTTAAAGGTTGCTTAATTGATTGCTGATTGAAATACACACACATTCCTGCATAGCACACCCTGAACTAGTGAACTTGTATTTGAAATGGTCAGTCACAGCCTGTTTGGACGTCCTGGTAGCCAAATCCAAGCCTTTTCTTTAGTTATCTTTGTGGGCAATAGCGTGTAAATTGGCACTCTTCAATAGTAAATGATTAAGTGGAACAATATCCACGTTTTTTGGTGATAATATTACAAGAATTTTTATTTTATTTTATCCCTTTTGGCCGCACTTTCAGGATAAGCGGGGTTCCACTCCTCATCTTGCACCTGATAGTGGAATGCCAAGCTGGCACATCACGCATTCTGACACAAAGATAAGGCTATTTAAGTGTTGCGGATAAAAATGTGGACGTCTAGACAAGGCCTTACATGTTTGATGCCTTCTATATTGAAGCACATTATTTTAGTGACAGAGGAATAGCAGTTTGAAAGAAGGCTTATTCTTGTTTTAAACTGTTGAGAGTGCTTGTTATTATTAAGAATCAAGCTGTCACTCATTGACAATACATGAATATTATACTAGATGGTTTGACGTTAATAAGGTAGCGATATCTCAGAGATGGAACATGGTTGCTTTAAGGTTACTCTGGACCTAGTTGTTACTAGATTTTAGGGAACCTTGGGGAAGAGCATTGCTGTCGAAAGCTGTATTTCAGCTGAACTGTAATGTTATGTGGATATGAACCCAGAACAACAGCACTAGGGTAGGACTGCAGGAGTAAGAATTGCAGGAGCCTGCAGCGGATTTGGGGTTTCCTCTGATCTGGAAAACAATGACACAATTTCCATAATTGAAATGAGTTATTACATTAGGAATTTACCACTTAGATCACAGAATTTGGGAAATTGTCATTAGCTGGTGCTACAAATCCGATATGGCAGTGAATTGTGTTAGTGTGAAGAACCAGAGACGCAATAAGCTAGTAATTGCATTGGAATTTTTGGCAATAAATTTCTCCAAGTTTCAATATTATGAGGATGCATTACTCCACAAGTCTTAACACTTTCTACGGTTCATAACCAAAAAGTTACTTGAGCCTCGATATCTTATTAGAACTTGCAACTTGATAGAGATACAGCCCTCTGTTGTTTAAAGATGATGCCTGATTTGCTGAAACCAAAATCACTGGTTTCCTAGGCTATCATTGAGAGAGTAGTGATGATCTGTGAAAGAAGTCTGGGGAGCTGCTGAAAAGGTGCGCTCAAGTGTAAAGCAAGAGTGTCAGTTTTAGGTTTAGCTGTGTGCCAAAGAGTACTTGGAGACCTCTGATGGTGATGAGTTGTCATAAAGGGATTGTACTGATTAGAGAGGATGTAGGTCCAATGGTCGGTGGAAACGTCGTGCTTATAGTTTGGCATGTAGAAGTTGAGCTCTGGCTATTTTTCTGCCTCATGTCAATTGCAGTGGGATTATGAAGCAATATTCACTGTTAACCTATGCCGCTGAGAGTCCTGTATCTGGAGATCTGGTGGTAAAACTGAAATTTTGATATGATAGGCATCGGCTGTCTTTCTCTGAGACAAGGATGAGAATCTCTTCTTCTGTTGCAGCTGCAACAAAAGGGCAAGAAAATAAATATGGTTTAGAGTTCATAACAAGGTTTTAAAAAGCGGATCGGTAACCCAAATCGTCCTCACCCATACCCATGTCGAATCGGAGAATCGGCCGAATCTGCAAGTTTTATCCCAAACGTTTTTAAAAAAATAACTATAAATCTCTAAAAATAGTGTTCTTTTAGTTTATAAAAGAAATTAGGAGTGGTGCATTATGTACTTTCAGTACTTTGTAAAAATAGGTGAATACCGAGACGCTGTTTTCTTGTTTAGATGTCCGTATAATTATTAATTATAACTAATATTCCATCAAAATAATTTAAAAATATTAGAAAACACTTCCATATTATAAGATTAAAAAATAATTTCACATATAGTACCACATCAAAGTATCAAACATTTATTAATTCGCTTTTATCATTCACAATTATCACAACCTAACTAGCTATAATATTATATACTGAAATCGAAATTGTTGGTTTATATTTCATAATTATTTTACTATACAAATAAGAACAAATGTAAAATGTTTTATAATATCATCTAATTTAAACCATCTTATTTACAACTATAAGAAAAAATAATACAATACATAATTTATAATGCAAATAAATTAATAAATAAAATACAATATTTGGTTATCAATTTATAATTATTAATTATAATATTATAATAAACATGATTCAAGAATTTCTATATAACAACTTAATACGATTCAATATGATTTAAGAATTTCTATATAACAACTTAATACAATTCAAAATTTAATAATTATATTAAATTTTAATTTCTGTATAAAATAAGTTATTGCAATAATAACCAATTAACAATAAGTTATTTGTCAATATTTATAGAAGTTATAAATATATTAATCTAAAATTACATTCTAGACTAAATATGAAAATAACATAATCTATATAACAATAAGAATTTATTAAATAACATAACAATGCAATATATTAAATTAGGTGATTTTTTAATGTAATTATAACAAAAAAATTCCAATATAGCAATAAAAATTTTAATATAATTGTACTAAATAAGTTAACAATTTTACATAGTTATATTTAGTCACCATAAAAATATTAATATAATTCTGATATGCTCCTATTCACATAATTAGGATATATAGAGAGACGCTAGGTTGGGCAGGGAGAGAGCGAGAGGTGGGTAGGATGGAGAGATGCCTAAGTTGGGAGGGGAGAGAGAGAGACAGTAATAAAGTTGGGAGGGGAGACAGAGAGAGATGCTAATTAATTTGGGAGGGGAGAGAGAGAGAATGCCAATTAAAGTTGGGAGGGGAGAGAGAGAAACTAAGTAAAGGTTGGGAAGGGAGCGAGAGAAAGAAGTGTGATTATTGGGGTGAAGAGCTGGCGATGAGGTTTGGTGGGACTCATTTATCCCTCATCAAAAAAATCGAAGAGTCACAGCTTGAATAAAAGCGTCAAGCCACGTGACTTAATGCATCAGATTTAACACATGTGCTTGGGTTACGTGTGATTATTTGACCAGTGGTTGGGGTCCACTTGCAATTATTCTAAAATTTTAAAAACAAGTGGGATCGATGGATATTTTTATAATTTAAAAAGCTCAAGAATATGACATTAGAACTGGTTTCATGATGTCAGAACTGGTTTCATGACGTCAGAACCGGTACGGACAAAAATGTGTCTGGTTCGTGACGGCAAACGATACATGACATTGGCAGAGCGATTCCTTGTAGAGAATCGACCGGATCCCATTTTTTAAGCAGATTCGGGATGGCTCCACCGATACCCGATCATGATCGGATCAACGATTTTTTAAACCTTGGTTCATAACAAATTGCCTCAACTGCTTTACGCCTTAGAAAATTTAATATTTGCCTTAATATATTGAATCATGTTTTAATTTGCTTTCTATTTTCAACTTTTGTGTCATGCAAATTCACAATCACATGGCTGATTTATCAAAATACTATGTAATCTATTAATTTTGTAAGGAACTGTAGTTAAAATGGTCCATTAGTAATTATGTGCTTGGAATCTCTATGATAACACTATTGTAGGAAAGATTGGACTTCTTGCTTTTATTGCTTTAAAGTGAGGGCATGCTGACGTATGATACGCCACTAATTATCTTAGTCTCTCTTGTTTTACATTTGAGCTACTCAGCAATTGGTTTTGGCCATGCAAACATTTGTCAGTCGTGGCCACTATAAAAGAAGTTTAATGTACATTATATGTAGCCTTAGATATGTTTGAAGTTAAAGTTTATCAAGATTACTACATCTGTCTATATAGTACGAATGAAGTGTGAATCATGTGTAATTCTTCAAAGGTTCTATAGCTGGCTTGGTTAGCTGTTTTGATCAACAATATTAACATATAAACATTAAATAATTGTAGGATCCCTTGGGCGCATGCTCCATCAGATGTCAAAACTCAAAATTTGAATTCGATTATTAAAAAATACTCATTTGATTATTCAAAGTGGATCCCTAAATATTAGATCTATAAAATACTTCTTGACATATTTTCTTTTCCGTAAGTATAAATTTATGATCATATGGGAGCATGTTATGTAATTTTTCTTCTTAAATTTTAAGCAAGAGGGTGATCCCTGTTCTTGCAACAAGTGGTCTTTTATTGTTAATTTTGTCCTTTCAATCCTTAATTTATTCCTAATTTGTCCTTTGGCACATCTATCTCATATTTTATACTTATTTATATTTATCTTTATCACTTCAAAGGGTACTCTATGATAAGAGTAGAGACGAGAAAGTATTTAAGATTGACAGCCAAGAAATATAAAAAATAGCGTACTTTTAATACCTTGGGTCGATAATCTAGGAAAATGGAGAGATTGAGGAAGGTGTTGCACATAGAATTAGAGCTGAATGGGCGAAGTGAAGATGTGCAACCGGAGTTTTATGCGATCGCTGCATACCAATGAAGTTGATGAGAAAGTTCTATAGAACAACTGTGACATCAACTTTGTTTTATGGGACGGAATGTTGGGCGGTCAAGAAACAACATCCCCATAAAATGAGTGTAGCTGAGATGAAGATGTTGAGATGGATGAGTGGTAAGACAAGAAGGGATAGAATTCGTAATGAATACATTCGGGAGAATTTAGTGTGGCACCAATAGGCGATAAGATGAGAGAAAGTAGATTTAGGTGGGCTGGCCATTTGTGACATAGACCCAGTACAACACCTGTTAGGAGGTGTGAGTTAGTTTAAGCCGAAGGCTTAGAAAGGGCACGGGATAGGCCTCAATAAGGATATGACCCTTAATGGAGTAGAATGATGGTCTAGGATTCGTTTAACTGACCCCAATTAGTTGGGACAAGGCTTTGACGATGATGATGATGATGATGATGATGATGATGATGATGATGATGATAATGATATAGTAATTGGACAAAATCCATAATTAATTCATCATCATCATCATCATCATCCGAGCCTTATCCAATTATTTGGGGTCGGCTTAATTGATTACACTAATATTTTCCAGGGGTATGAACATTTCGTATAAATAGGGAAATTCCCCGTTTGTTATTAATAATATATAATTAGCTACAAAATTTATGTATTATTATTATTGTCATAAATTTAATCTTTATCTCATTGATTATTGAGGTACATTAACATGACATTTAGAAAATTTTTGGTTATAAATTACTTTATTCACACTTAAAAGCATTATAATTTCTTTGACTTACACGTGTATTTTATAACAATTCACCCTATATTTTCGTAGGGGGAATGATCATGTGTATTTTAAATACACTGTATTCTGGTGTAAAGAGTTTCTTTTATCCTTTCTTTTAAGAAAATCCCATTTTGCTCTTCTTCCACCAGCTCCCAATCCCTCTCTACCCAAAATTCCATCTTGCTCTTTCTCCACCAGCCCTAAATATCTCTCTTTCTCTCTCTCTCTCTCTCTCTCTCTCTTACACTACTACTACTTAC